GTGCTGGGGGATTGAACCGCGGTCCCTGATGCTTTTGCTAAGCTTGTTCTAAGTAGGTGCTTTAGACCACTGAGCCATCTCTCCAGCCCTCAGACTGTCTTGTGAGCGACCATATGACTGAGATCAAATTTGTGGCAAGAAGCCAAGATGTGTTCTTAGAATTCAAAATAGCTGGGCCGGGGAGATGGCTCAGTGAAATAAGCACTTCCCTAGCAAGTGCAAGGGTCTGAGTTCAATCCCCGGTTCTGAAAAAAAAAAATTAAAAAAAAAAAAAAGAATTCAAAATAGCTGCTGAAAAGATTTTAAGCTTTTTTCATATCAATGACAACCCACCAACCTGTACTGGAAATACTACTGAGATGGCATCAGAGAAATGGCACTAACTGGAGCCACCTTTGCCCTAGAGCCCATGCAACACACTGATACAGGTATCAGTTCACAGCAACTGTATTACTTAGCCCTGATCTACGTTTCTCTTTGTTTCGAAAGAACCTAGGTGGCAGTAGTTATCCAAGAACTGAAGGCCAGGGAAGATAAGTCCAGCCACCAGCTGGTCCTTATAGCTCTAGAAAGGGGTAGAAGTTCCATCCCCGGTTCTGAAAAAAAAAATAGAAAGGGGTAGACTAGCCAGAAGCTGTACCAACTAAATCAAAGTAATCACTGCATATGCAGGTGATGACCTACCATGTTCACCCAGGATTTGTACAGGATCAGTGTCCCAAAAAGCCTGCCCACAGACTGCTTGGTGTTCAGAGATCATTGATGGTCAATGATCTGGATGACAGAGTCTTTCACAAGTACTGGTAACACAGTGAGACAATTGTTCAAACTGGACAGTAAGCAGGGGAATTCACCATTGGCAGAGAGTTGGACTTTGAAGAAAAGAGAGCTACACAACTGTAGTGGAAGCAAAAGATGGAGGTCATGCTGCACGTTGTACACTACAAGTAGATACTTTACAAGAAAATGATGATGCCCCAGAGATTATCCTGGCTTCTAAATCTCAACATACACCAGAAATGCTGAATTGGGGTCCACTGATGATCTAATTGAAACACATGATCTAGATTCTGGATTTAACAGGAATATCCTATGTCAACTAAAAGGGGAGTTCTGGTTTAAAATAGTTCAAGATACAGAACACACAGGCTGGTGAAAGATGGATCCCTGAACCAAGTACAGATCCTAGAGTATAATGTCATTATCACAAAGGCAATCTGCCCCACTCTTGCAGCATTAATGTCACATCTTATATTGCTGGTATCAATGACAGTGCTCCTGTTTTCCACCAACTGGCCTATGAGGTCCATACCATGGAAAGCAACCTTCCTGGGGTCTTCATCCCTTAAGTCAGTGCCAAGAGCCCTGATTCAGGACCCAGTGGCCTGGTCTTCTACTCCATAGTGACCTCAAGCCTAGAGCGCTGCTGTCCTACGTTTCCATGAACTCATAGAGCAGGGTATTGTTTGCACAGCACGTCTTCAACCACGAGCAGTTGCATGCCTTCGAATTCACACTGCAGGGCCATGACCATGCCTCACCCATGCTCAGTGCCAGTGTGAGCCTGCACGTGCTAGTGGGAGACTGCAAAGACAACATGCAGGTGCAGTACCCTGCGCTGGGGCCTAATGGCCCCAGCACTCTTTGACACAGTGCTGCATGCCGCCAAGCACCACGGAGCCTGGCTACCTGGTCATCAAGGTTGTGGTGGTGGATGTTGACTTGAGACACAATGCCTGGCTGTCCTACCATGTGCTGTGAGCCAGCAATCCTAGTTCTGCCTGGAACTATACACCAGCGAACGAAGTGCACATGGTGTGTGCCTTGAGCAACAGGGACACAGCTACCTCCACCTGTCAGGTGCAGTACAAGATGGAGGCCAGCCTCCTCTTTCAGCCACCACCAAGTCACATTGCACCTGATCTTTGCTAATAGCTTTTGAGAACTTCTGCCTGACTTTAACAACCATCCAGCAGGGTAGTAGAAGGCCAATCTGGTAGTAGTAGTGGCCTTGGCCTTGATCTCTGTCCTGTTCATGCTTGTTATGGTTCTGGCTATTGTCCTAAGCCTTCAAACCTCCCCAGCCCTCTCCCAGGGACTGCTTTCAGCCTAGTCTGTGCTCCAAGCCTGTCCCTGATGTTCTCCCAGCTCCTGAGAAGGAACTTAGCCTATTCCTAAATTGGCATGCTGCATCACATTCATCAAAGAGCAAGCTTAAATTCTTTAGTACAATGCCCACAAGTGCTCAACCACAAGTTCTACTACATGATAAAGATTCTTGGCTTGAAAGTGACAACAATGACATTCCAAACATTGCCTCTAACTCAATCAACTTGCAGCCAGTGCATTTCTTTTCATCTTTCCTCCATAAATATAAATAGGTCTCAATTCATTAACTTAGAGATAAAGGGTATAGAGATAAAGTATATGTTCATTTCATTGTTTTACAGTATTTTTTCTGGGAATAGAATATAGGACTAGGAAATTATTTGTAAACTTAGTTGTATTACAGTTGTTCTTTTGTAGAAAGTTCCCTGTGGTCTTGAAATTTTTGTGAATCCTAAAACAATATCACCAGAAATATCTTTTATGCAGTAGTATCTCACACTGGGGATAAGGAGATGGCTTGGTAGAATAAGCGCTTGCCTGGCAAGCACAAAGGCCTGAGTTCAATTCCTGGTTCCACCAAAAAAAGAAGAAGAAGAAGAAGGAGAAGGAGAAGGAGAAGGAGAAGGAGAAGGAGAAGGAGAAGGAGAAGGAGAAGGAGAAGGAGAAGGAGAAGTATCTCACTGTCATTGAAATGTCTATCTTGAAATAAATATAATAAACAAATTATTTACTTCCTTTCAGTACAACCAATCCCAAAATATATTATATACAACATATAATGGACATTAAATATTAGCCTATATATTTTTCTCTTGCATATTTTTAAAGTGTACACAAATGTTGCTTATGTCAGGACAGTTCTTAATGTATTAATAAAAATAGTAGCTTTTAAAAATGGCAACACAGTCTTAACCACCCAGCAGAACAGTATAAAAATGAGGTATAAAAAGTAAAGCCATATTAATAAGCTGAGCTGTAAAAGGCTCAAGTCAACAACTTTTGACATTGCCAGTCCTATGAATAGCCCACTACTATTATACACTACTGGACTATATTGGACTATTTTGCTGAATTCACGCACCTACAATATTTAAATGGCAATGGAATACCCATCCCTGACAAAACTAAACAATAAAGGGGGATATAAATGAAGGACCATTTTGTATCTGTGTATACAAAATAGTTGGGATAGATATACAACTACTTTCTCTTAATTCAATGAGAAGCAAGATTTGTACTAATAGTGTCTGTACAGGATATCATGTCTGCATCTTGTACCATGAATAACTACTATAAAGACAAAAATATGCAATGTATTAATTATTGTAACTGTCCTACTAACCTGTTTTGAAACTGTCTCATTGCTATTTGTTTCTCAATAAAATTAATTTTAAAAATCCAACACACAAAAGTGATGCCACAAAAAAATAAAAATGGCAACATAACTGGTGGTATAGTATATTGATTTAAAATATTTTCTGTGATTGTTGGTGCATTTATTAAAAATGAAGCAAATGTAACTGATGGGATGTAACAATGTAAGTTACAGAACATTAATATTAATTATCTCCAATATCTTAAATTTTCACAAATATAAGTGGCAACTTTCAGAGAACGTTTAAAATTATTTGAAATCAAATATTTTATTCTTCTAACTATTTCACTGTCTTGGGAAGAGAGCTATGAATGCTATTTTTGCAAATTTAACAAAAATAAAATCTATGGCATAGTTTCACAAAACAGTGCAGTATTACATCAGGACTCTAAGTGTCGCTGTTCACTAACCCGGGCACAAAACCAATGGGAACTTGAGTTACATCCTCCAACCACAAAGCAGGTCAGACACCACTACTGCGCAGATATTCGGACCTGAAATGGTTCACAAGCGATCTTCGCTTATTAGGAACCTTGACTTCTAATTCCGGGGAGCATAGAGTGGTGTGGACCTGTTCTTTTTACTCTTAACCCCAGGGAAATCCACAATAACACAGTCATGGCGGCTCTGCAGAGACGCCTGCACCTCAGCGAGTTGCTGCTGTTCTCCATTCTCCTGCAGTCTCTGTGGGGGGCTGAAGGAGGGACTGAACAGATCCGCTACTCCATCCCAGAGGAGCTAGAGAAAGGTTCCTTTGTAGGCAGCATCGCCAAGGACTTGAGATTACAACACCAGGAGATGGCTGAGCGCGGAGTCCGCATCGTCTCCAGAGGTAGGACCCAGCTTTTCTCTCTCAACCCGCGCAGCGGCAGCTTGGTCACCGCGGGCAGGATAGACAGGGAGGAGCTGTGCGCCCAGAGCGCACGGTGTCTGGTGAATTTTAACATCCTTGTGGAGGATGAAATGAAGCTTTATCCTGTGGAAGTGGAAATAGTGGACATTAATGACAATGCACCCCGATTCTTAACGGAAGAATTGGAAGTGAAAATTACTGAAAACGCAGCCCTATCTTCTCGTTTTCTGCTAATGGAGGTCTATGATCCTGATGTTGGAGTGAACTCTCTTCAGGACTTAAAGCTTAGCAGTAATAGCCACTTCTCAGTGGCTGTGCAAAGCCAAGCACATGGAGCCAAGTACCCAGAGCTCATACTTGAGCATTCCCTGGACCGGGAGCGAGAAGCAGTTCACAATCTGGTCCTTACTGCCCTAGATGGGGGTGACCCTGTCCGCTCAGGTGTAGCTCGAATTCTGGTAACTGTCCTAGATGCGAATGACAATGCCCCAGTTTTTACTCAGCCTGTGTACCAAGTAAGTGTTCCTGAAAATCTGCCAGTAGGGACACCAATGTTAGCTGTAAATGCCACTGACCTGGATGAAGGAGGGAACGCAGAAGTAACATATTCCTTTGTGAAGACCACAGAAAAGATCTCACAGATATTCTGCTTGAATGTTTTGACTGGAGAAATTTCAACTTCTGCAACTCTAGACTATGAAGACTCCAGCTTTTATGAGCTGGATGTGGAAGCCCGGGATGGGCCAGGTCTTCAAGACAGAGCAAAAGTTCTAATATCCATCTTGGATGTGAATGATAATGTGCCAGAAGTGGTTGTTACCTCTGGAAGCAGAACAATTGCTGAAAATGCTCCTCCAGGAACAGTAATTGCTCTCTTGCAAGTGTATGATCGGGACTCTGGACTGAATGGCATGGTGGTGTGTTCTATCTCGAAAAGTCTCCCATTTGAATTGGAGAAATCAGTAGACAATTATTATCGATTAATGACAAATGCAGCTCTAGATCGGGAAAAGGCATCCTTCTACAACCTCACTGTGATAGCCACAGACAGAGGAACTCCACCTCTGTCTACAGAAAAGCTCATCTCCCTAAGTGTGGCAGACACTAATGACAATGCGCCTGTCTTCTCCCAGTCATCCTATTCTGTCTATGTCCCTGAAAACAACCCCAGAGGTTCCTCCATCTTCTCTGTAAATGCAATAGACCTTGACAGTGAGGAAAATGCTCAAGTCACCTACTTCCTGGCTGAGGACACTCTCCATGGTGTGCCTCTGTCCTCCTACCTTTCCATTAACTCCAACACTGGTGTCTTGTATGCACTTCGCTCTTTTGATTATGAGCAGTTTAAAGACCTGCAGTTACTTGTGACAGCCAAAGATAGTGGGAACCCACCACTCAGCAGCAATGTGTCACTGAGCCTATTTGTGCTGGATCAGAATGATAACACACCTGAGATCCTGTACCCCACTCTTCCCACTGATGGCTCTACTGGGGTGGAGCTGGCACCCCGATCTGCTGAGCCTGGATATCTTGTGACCAAGGTGGTGGCAATAGATAGAGACTCAGGTCAGAACGCCTGGCTCTCCTACCGCCTGCTCAAGGCTAGTGAACCAGGGCTGTTCTCTGTGGGGCTGCACACAGGTGAGGTGCGTACAGCAAGAGCCCTGCTGGACAGAGACACACTCAAGCAGAGCCTCGTGGTAGCTGTGCAAGATCATGGCCAGCCTCCTCTCTCGGCCACTGTCACACTCACTGTGGTGGTGGCCAACAGCATCCCAGATGTTCTGGCCGACTTGAGCAGTTTTGAGCCCCCCAAAGACTCTGATGCCTCAGGCCTCACATTCTACCTGGTGGTGGCAGTGGTCATTGTTTCCTGCATCTTCTTCACCTTTGTTATGGGGCTGCTGGGGCTCAAACTGAAGCACTGGCACAAGTCAAGCTTGATGAAGTCTACAAATGGGGGTTTGCCTAATGTGCCCATCTCACACTTTGTGGGCATGGATGGGGTGCAGGCTTTCCTGCAGACCTATTCGCATGAGGTCTCCCTTACCTCAGACTCACGGAAGAGCCACCTGATATTCCCACAGCCCAACTATGCCCACACACTCATCAGTCAGGAGGGCTGTGAGAAAATTGAGCCTCTTTTGATACAGGAAGGGTCCGGTTTGGGTAAAGAGGAAGACTCCCTTGTTCAGGTAAGGCTATTGCTGTTACTCTTTTATTGAACAAGAGACTGCAAAACTCTCTTTGATCAGTACTGCTTTCATAGTCTTTTACTATGTCTCTTATAATTCTAAGTTTTCACATCAACAGAATTCTTGTAAATCTTAGTTTTCTCAAATTTTATTGAAAAATATTAGTCCATGTTCTTGAAGTCTTTTATTTTACTTTTTTGAGACAGGGTCTTTCCGTGTAATTCAGACTAGCCTTGAACTTACTAGGTAGACCTGGCATCCAGGACTCATGGTGACACTCTTGACTCAGCCTGCTGAGTGCTGGGATTATAGGCATTGACCACCACAACTGTGCCTTTGATTTCATACATTTCATCTCTTGGGGGTTTTGCTGTTATGTGACATCTTCTAATTTGAAGAAAACCTGACTTGCCGCTTGTGTTAAATAAGATCAAGACCTTAGTTTTTCTCAGTGTTTCTTAATGTTTGCATGTGTTTCTAAAATGATGGAGATTTGTTTTCCTGTCTTCTTAGAAATTAAAAAAAAAAAAAAAACAGGGGAAAGGCTAAGTATATTGCTCTGTAATAAAGCACTTGCCTAGCATGCATGTAGTGCTAGGTTCTGCCTCCAGTACCATGTGCAGTGCACATGTGTGCACACACACAAACACACACACACTCAAAGAAAGGTAAAAGTCATTGATGCTTGTATCAAGAAATACTTAATCTTTGGTATTAAAAGAGCTAAATAAGCCAGCCAGATAGCTCAGCAGATTAAAGCACCTGCTTAGGCAGACACAGCAGCCAGGGCTCAATCCCCAGCATGCCATGCTGGTCCCACCCCCAGGGCACTGAAAGGGTGATTGAGACTGGGCGTGGTGACGAGAACCTGCAATCCCAGCACTTGGGAGGCTGTAAACAGGAGGATCACTACAAATCCGATCTACGTAGTGAGACCCTGTAGACTCTGTAGACCCTGTACTAAATACAAAAAAAAAAAAGACCTGAATAAAATCTCTGGAACTATCTGTCATTCATTTCAATCAGTCAAAATCTTTAAAATTTTCTGGCTAAAATTAAAAGACTGTGTTATTTGTATCACATAGAGTGGTATGAAAATAAACAACTTATGAATTTTTGAATTAAAAATTAATATAGTGAATAAGTACTTGTTGACATCACTATTATTATAACTAAAGACTGTTTTTTGTTTTTTGGAGTTTTTTTTTATTTTTAGCGAAGGGTCTACAGGATGTTCAGGTTCTCACTACTAGATCAGACTAGTAATGATCCGCCTGTGTTCAGCCTCCCAAGAGCTGGGATTACAGGTGCATGCCACCACACTCAGTCTCAACCACCATCTCAGCACACCCTGTGGGCGGGGCTGGCACAGCAGACCCAGGGATTGAACTTCTAGCCCCTGCGCCTGCTTCCAGGTGCTTTAATCCACTAAGCTATTTGGCTAGCCCTAAGATTGTTAAACATGTGTACCTTGTGCTGTGTTCCTATTATAATGTTTTTTGCATATTTTGTGCTTGATAGTACTTAGTCTCAAAATAAATTTTGACATAGGTTCAATAGTGACCACTTAAAAGAAATATCTCTAGGGCTGGTGAGATGGCTCAGTGGTCTAAAGCACCTACTTAGAACAGGCTTAGCAAAGCACAGAGACCGCGGCTCAATCCCCCAGCACCACATGCCAGCCAGCCCCGCCCCCTGGTGGGCTGAGCTGGCCACACACACACACACACATAAATAAAGTTCTTTAAAAATAAAAAAAGAGAAATATCTCTAAAAACAGAAGACTGGTGGATGAGAGAATAAAGGATCAATAGACCTCAAACAAAAATTTAAATAATTTAGTACTTTATATTAAAATATTTGAGGAGGGGCTGGTGAGATGGCTCAGTGGTCTAAGGCACCTACTTGGAACAAGCTTAGCAAAGCACAGGGACTGTGGTTCAATCCCCCAGCACCACATGCCAGCCAGCCCTGCCCCCTGGTGGGCTGAGCTGGCCACACACACACACACACACACACACACACTAAATAAAAATAAACTTAAAAAAAATAAAATATTTGAGGAAAAAAGGTTATCACTTACAGGAATGATTATTTTTATTTATATGGCCAAAAGATGCAAATTAACTTATGATTTAGTGAACAGAAAATAGCAAAGATTTTAATTATCAAAGTTGTTCTAACAGACCATGCACTGCTAAGGATATTCACATTCTTCAAAAATAGGTTGATGTAATTAATGAAGTATGGAAGATTCTATAATTTGGTGGATTAGTCAACTAAATTATAGCAAGTTTTTTTCTAATTTTGAGTTAGCAGATTCTGATTTTATGATACAGTGGATTGCATATTTATACATCTTCATTTAATATGCATATGTAGGAAGAACAATTAAGGAGATGGGGGGCAAGGAGATGGCTCAGTGGAATAAGTGCTTCCCTGGCAAGCGCAAGGGTCTGAGTTCAATCCCCGGTTCTGCCAAAAAAAAAAAAAAAAGAAAGAAAGAAAAACAGCTAGTAAGGAGACATATTCAAAATGTTTGAGTACCTCCTTTGTAACCTAAGTTAGTCTTCATAAACATAACATTGAGCCAGGGGTGGTGCCTATAATCCCAGAACTCTGGGAGACTGAGGCAAGAGAATGGTAGGTTCAAGCCCAACCTGGCAACCTAGTGAGATGATCTATTTTCAAAATTAAAAAGGCTGTGTAGGTAGCTGAGTGTGAAGTCTCTGAGTTCAACTCCTAGTATCATTAAAATAAAATAAAATAAACATAGCTCCATGGCAAAGTGCTTGCCTACTATGCACAAGGCCCTGGATTCAGTCTGTAGCACTCCAGCATGACATTCAAGGAAACATCATATTGAATTCATCTAGCATGAATGAGTCCCTGGGTTTGAACCCCACCAGTGAAAAAATATTGAGTCGATATTTTCAAATAAAACAATAAACTTAACATATACTTTTCTAAATCAATACTGTGATATCTATATTTCAGCAATTATTATAGAAGTGTTTATTTCATGTTTCCAAATATATATGGCTAACCCAAAGATTTCAACCATATATTTTTTTTAATTTTTTTTTAATTTTTTTTTTTTATGGGGGAGCGGGGCTGGCTGGCATGTGGTGCTGGGGGATTGAACCGCGGTCCCTGTGCTGTGCTAAGCTTGTTCTAAGTAGGTGCTTTAGACCACTGAGCCATCTCACCAGCACCTCAACCATATATTTTGAAAATTGATTTGTTTGCATATTTGTGAAATATTCTTTGATGATTTTACTAGAATTTAATAGTAAATTATATTTTTAAATGAAGTGAATCTTGACTATTAATCATGTGAGCTACACAGTTTCTCATATAAATATATTTTATACATTCAAGAGTATAAATAATATACATGCAGATACAAATGTCACTTTCTACATCACTAGTTTTCAAGGTTTAAACTACTATCTTGAACATCCATTAATAGAAAAGCTAGTTAACCGGGTTTTATGGGTAGTAGGCTGGTTTGTTGTAGTCTTTTACCTGAATCACCTGTGGCCATTTCATTGAAACAAAGCATTTCACTGATGGAAAAAATATCAGATGATACTCACAAAATAGACACGTGTTCATTTGAACTGACCGACCCTTAAATACCCTGGCAACCATGGAATTTGCTAAGTTCTTATTCATTGAGGCTCTTTGATCTACCCATCATACACTTGATTAATCTGAAGACAAGCTCCTAATGATGTTGAGCACATACTAAGCTTTGAAACATTTGGAAAATATCACCAGGTGAGTGGGCTGTTTGATCACGTATGAAGACTATGAAACTTCATTTGAGATGATATTTGTTCACAGAGGAGTAAAACTCTCTGAGAGAATTACTGGAGAATGTGAAGATCTTCAGAACGGACTACATGCAACTGCAAAAACATGGTTCTTCACTAGAACAAAAGGTTCCATAAAGAAGAGAAAATAAACAATTTGTTTTCTCAGAAATCAAATAAACTTTCCATAGTTTTTTTAGATGGAAGTAACAAATAAAGGTCAGAATTCTTCTCTATAATTCAGTCATTATGATGCACTGTCTTTAAGACTATAAATTATTTCAATTTTATATAATAAGCTCATATTTTATTAAACCTCTCTGGGTTGTCCAGTCGTGATCTATAATGTTTACTTTCATGTTGTGGGATAATGTAGAAAATGAATGCCAGACACAAGGAGGTCATTTAGATATTAAATATATGTATTCATTTTTTATTTTACCTACAATGGTGCTCTTGGCTTTATATGCGACAAAATGTGAACCAGTGCCCCACAGGGTAACTTCAAAAGTTCAAGGCAAAAGAGATTTTTAAAATTTATGTGGAATTATCAAGTAACCACTCGCAAATACAGTTGTGTTCATTTTCTTGAAATGGATTTTTAAAGCATATTAGAACTATCAGGAGTGAAGAATCTTAAGTAAATGTGTATTGTGAAGGATGAAATGATTTCCTGTAAAAACCAATTTTGCTTGAAAATGGTGCAGTAACGCAGTAAGGACTCTGAGCGCCGCTGTTCACCAACCAGGAGGAATGGTCCGAGAGATCCGTCAGAACCACCGAGTTTTGCAGCACAAAGAAGCGACAAATTTGAGACAAGCCCTCTTCTGAGCTGCACCAAACTCGGGCTTCTATGCTACTGGATTCTGAGATTTCCTTCCGAATACACGGGGTCCACACAGACACTCAGAGGCACATGCATAGACCGCTCAGCATCTAAGCAAGATCTGCAGGACAGCAATGGCGCCTCTGCAGAGGGGCGGGGACTACAGAGGATTCCTTCTGCTCTGCATAGTCTTGGGGACCTGGTGGAAAGCCAGGGCAGGACAAATTCTCTATTCCGTGCCCGAGGAGGCAAATAAAGGCTCTTTTGTGGGTAATATCTCCAAGGACCTGGGGCTGAAGCCCCGGGAGCTGGCGGAACGCGGAGTCCGCATCGTCTCCAAAGGTAGGACGCAGCTTTTCTCTCTCAACCCGCGCAGCGGCAGCTTGGTCACGGGGGGCAGGATAGACCGGGAGGAGCTGTGCGCCCAGAGCGAGCGCTGTCTGGTTAGTTTTAACATCTTGATGGAAGATAAAATGAATCTGTTCCCTGTAGAAGTGGAAATAATGGATGTTAATGATAATGCACCTAGATTCTTTCCGGAAGAAATAACTGTAAAAATAATGGAGAATACAGTCCCTGGGATGCGGTTTCCCCTAAACGAGGCTGGAGATCCAGATGTGGGCGCAAACTCCCTCCAAGGATACCAGCTCAGCACCAATCGTCACTTCTCTCTGGTTGTGCAAAGTGGAACTGATAAAAAAAAGTACCCGGAACTAGTGCTGGAGCAGGTGCTGGACCGGGAAGAGGAGGCAATTCACCATCTGGTCCTCACAGCCTACGATGGAGGGGACCCACCTTTATCTGGCACCGCCCGCATCCAGGTGACCGTGGTGGACGTGAATGATCACGCACCAGTCTTTTCTTTGCCCCAGTACCAAGTGACGGTGCCAGAGAACATACCAATAGGCACAAGACTTCTCACAATAAATGCTGTGGACCTGGATGAGGGAGTCAACGGGCAAGTGACATATTCTTTTCGGCAAATAACTCCAAAACTTCTACGAATATTCCATCTCAATTCCCTAACAGGAGAATTGTCAACACTAGAAGGACTGGATTATGAAGAATCCAGCTTCTATGAAATGGAGGTTCAGGCTCAGGATGGTCCTGGCAGTCTGACAAAATCAAAAGTGCTAATTACAGTTTTAGATGTGAATGACAATGCTCCAGAAGTGACTGTGACATCTGTAAGCAACTCAATTCCAGAAGACACACCTCCTGGGACAGTAATTGCTCTTTTCTACCTCCAAGACAGAGATTCTGGTAAGAATGGTGAAGTAACCTGCACTCTTCCAGAAAACCTACCTTTTAAATTAGAAAGATCAATAGATAATTATTATAGATTGATCACAGCAAAACATCTGGACCGGGAAGAATGCTCCGTGTACAATATCACCCTGACAGCCACAGATGGTGGAAGTCCTCCCTTGTCCACAGAAACTCCCATCTCCATATATGTGGCAGACACCAATGACAACCCACCCATCTTCCCTCAATCCTCTTACTCTGTCTACGTCCCTGAGAACAACCCTAGAGGTGCCTCAATCTTCTCAGTAACTGCACACGACCCTGACAGTGAAAAGAATGCCCAGGTCACTTATTCCTTGGGCACCGACATCATCCAAGGGGCACCAGTGTCTTCATATGTCTCAATCAACTCTGACACTGGTGTGCTATATGCACTCCAGTCCTTTGACTATGAACAGTTTCAAAACCTAAAACTAAGATTGAGTGCACGTGACAGTGGAGACCCACCTCTCAGTAGCAATGTGTCACTGAACCTCTTTGTGCTGGACCAGAATGATAATGCACCTGAGATCCTGTACCCTACTATTCCCACTGATGGCTCTACTGGTGTGGAGCTGGCTCCTCGGTCTGCAGAACCTGGATACCTGGTGACCAAGGTGGTGGCAGTGGACAGAGACTCAGGCCAGAATGCTTGGCTGTCCTATCGCCTGCTCAAAGCCAGTGAACCAGGGCTTTTCTCAGTAGGACTGCACACAGGTGAAGTGTGTACAGCAAGAGCCCTGCTGGACAGAGACACATTAAAACAGAGCCTTGTGGTGGCTGTGCAGGACCACGGCCAGCCTCCTCTCTCAGCCACTGTCACACTCACTGTAGCAGTTGCTGATAGCATCCCAGACGTCCTAGCTGACTTGGGGAGCATCCGGATTCCTGCTGATACTGAAGATTCAGACCTCACACTCTACCTGGTGGTAGCAGTGGCCAGTGTCTCCTGTGTCTTTCTTGTCTTTGTCATTGTATTGCTAGCACTCAGACTGAGGCACTGGTACAAGTCACGATTCCTGCAGGCTGCAGGTACTGGGCTGGAGGATGTGCCTGCCTCACACTTTGTGGGTGTGGATGGGGTGCAGGCTTTTCTTCAGACCTATTCTCATGAGATCTCCCTCACTGCTGACTCTGGAAAGAGCCATATTATCTTTCCCCAGCCCAACTATGTGGATACACTCATCAGCCAAGACAGCTGTGAGAAGAATGATTCTTTATTAACCTCCATAGATTTCCATGAATGTAAGGGGGAAGGCACAAGTACCCAGGTGAGTTTGATTTTTCCTTTGTCTTTATTTTGGCAAGAGTTAAATCATGAAAAAAAGAATTAAATTGTGCATAAAATGTCTCGTACTAATGAAACAAGTACTTTGAGGACAGGGGTTAACAAAACCTAGAAGAGGTAAATGCAAGTTTACTGCTTAGTTTTGGTGGTAATACTTTATTTACTTTTTTCTGTATTTGGTACAGAGTCTCACTACACAGCTCAGTCTCAGCAATCCTCCTGTTTTCAGCCTCCCCAGCACTGGGATTACAGGTGTGCACCACTACACCCAGTCTCAGTAGCCCACTCAGTGCACTCAGGGGTGGGGCTGGTGCTGCATGTGGTGCTAGAGATCAAACTCCACTTCCTGCACTTGCCTAAGCTGGTGCTTAGTCCTCTGAGCTATCTCAGTGGCCCAGTGGTGATACTTTAGCATGGAACACATGCATTATGATATATTCCTTTAACAAAAGTCTAATGGGGGATTTGATTGCGAATGAGTGATTTCTCATATTCTTGTACCATCAACCTGTACTTTCAACTTGGCTTCTTGTATATGTTACAAATGAAAATGAATTGTTGAATCTTTCTCTATGCAAAAGGTTAGCAAGAGTAACACAACTCATGTACTTTCTCAGGATTCTCTTTTAGAGTAAGATCTTTAAAGGTTTCTTAAAGATTTTTGAATGAAGTTCTTTTCCTTGTTCTGCTTCTACCTGAATGTCCATCAACTTGGTGACCCTGTCCTGTATATTGTGTTTGCTTCATTAATTATTTAACACATAGTGGCCTATTCAAATAGGATAGGGGGCCAAGACTATAGCTCATAGGCATAGCACCTGCCTGGCAACTGCAAGATTCTGAGTTCAATTCCTGGTAACAAAAAAATAAAATAGGGCAGTACTATTGATGCCCCAAAAATGAAACTTGTTAAGTTTCACCAAAATCTATATCAAAGACAGGCATAGTGTCTAATGCCACCTAAGGTCATTAGCCAAAATGAATAAAATATGTAAAATGAAATGTCATTTCAGGAGTGTAAGCATTTATGAAACTGGCAGACACCTATGTACCACAGTAGTGGTGCATCCATGTGACCTGGATCTCTGGGCTTTTCAGTGGGAGACTGTAAAAGGTGGCTCTGTAAAACAACCATTTCACACACTTAAACCCTGGACCTCTAATCAATTTTATTTATTGAGTGTACTAAAATATTTGGTTAGAAATAACCCAATTTGGGATTAAATGCAACCATGTTATTTGTATGGTAACTTGGTAAGTTCAGAACTTCAAGTGATTATGTAACAAGTAAGTGTCAAAATACTCTTGATTCCGGGACTGGGGAGATGGCTCAGTAGAATAAGTGCTTCCCTGGCAAGCGCAAGGGTCTGAGTTCAATCCCCAGTTCCGAAAAAACAAACAAACAAAACAAAATACTCTTGATTCCTCGGACCTTTTCACCATGCATTTCAAGGACTTATTTGAAAAGGTAGTAGTAGTAGGTGATATTTGTACAAAAACGACTGGGTAAAAAATGGGAGAATATTCCACTCATTCTACAACGTTCACATGCATAATCATTAGGAAGAAGACAACAGCACTCACTAGCATTTTGTGAGGTAAGTCCAACGGCAGATATGTGGTCATCAGCTACTTTGAAAAGAAAATGCCCCTAATCAAACTCTTGTAGAGGCTTTAAAGTGTTTTCAAACAAAGGTGATAAATCATTAAACTAAGAAAAACTATTGCAAGGACACTTCCAAAAGGCCGATTTCTTCGAATTCTGAGGTCATCACGGAATGTAAAATGCTCAGGTAGGCACCAATATGTCAGAGAAAAACAGTATACCCCTGGTAACTTTGGAGATTGATGTTTTATGTTGTAACCAGAAGAGCCTAACATCCTCGCAAGTGAGGTAAAAGCTTCCCTAAGAGTACGACTGCAAATATTATTAAATATATACCTATGAACTCAGGTTGGTTCACATAGACAAATATCCTACTGGCTAAACTGAAACGGCAGAGGCTGCAGTTCCCCAGTGTGCGCTCTGGGCGCCGCTGTTGGCCAAAGAGGAGAGCTCAGCGCTCGCCCCCTTCTCGCGCAGCCGCACTGCGCTTTCCGAGGCAGCCCTCTCTCACTGGCCAGGACCAGCCCTTACACCGCTTCCCACTTGGAAAAAGAACCTTCTGCCCGACTGGCACTGAGACCTGAAGCCCATTCGGAGCTCCGAACATCCGCAATACGGAGATTCTTGGTGATCCCGCGTCTCCAGGCTGGTGAGCAAGCTGAGCGCGCAGGAGGGATGGGGAGCGGCGCTGTGGAGAGGGGCAGGGCTGAGAGGCGGCCAGTGCTCTTCCCCTTGCTGCTGTCTTTGTTCAGCCCGGCGCTGTCAGAGCAGATCCGCTACAGGATCCCCGAGGAAATGCCCAAGGGCTCGGTGGTGGGGAATCTCGCCAAGGACCTGGGGTTCGGCGTCCAGGAGTTACCGACTCGGAAACTGCGCATCAGTTCAGAGAAACCTTACTTCACAGTCAGCGCAGAGAGCGGGGAGTTGCTTGTGAGCAGCAGGCTGGACAGGGAGCAGATATGCGGGAAGAGGCCAGCGTGTGCCCTGGAGTTTGAGGTTGTGGCTGAAGACCCGTTGAACTTTTATCATGTGAGTGTGGAGCTCGAGGACATTAATGACCACACGCCAAAATTCACGCATATGTCCTTTGAGCTCCAAATAAGCGAGTCTGCGCAGCCAGGCACACGATTTATATTAGCATCTGCCCATGATGCAGATATCGGTACCAACGCTCTACAAAATTACCAGCTCAGTCTCAGCGATCATTTCTCACTCACAAATAAAGAGAAATCAGATGGCAGTAAATATCCCGAACTCATATTGAAGACACCTTTAGATAGGGAAAAACAGAACTTCTACAGCTTGACCTTGACTGCCATTGATTTGGGGGATCCACCCCTCAGCAGCACTGCACAGATACAGGTCCTAGTCACTGATGCCAATGATAACCCTCCTGTGTTCAGTCAAGACATATACAAAGTGAGCCTTCCGGAAAATGTATTCCCAGGAACCACAGTGCTGCAGGTGACTGCCACTGACCAGGATGAGGGTGTCAATGCTGAGATCACATTCTCTTTCAGTGAAGCTAGCCAGATCACCACGTTTGACCTGAATTCTAAAACTGGGGAAATTACTACTCTAAATACATTGGATTTTGAAGAAGTAAAAGAATATTCCATTGTTTTGGAAGCAAGGGATGGTGGAGGGATGGTTGCACAATGTACAGTGGATATAGAAATCCTAGATGCAAATGACAATGTCCCGCAAGTGACATTCCAATCTCTACCCAACCTGATTATGGAGGACGCTGAGCCAGAAACACACATTGCTTTGCTTAAAATCCGTGACAAGGATTCTGGACAAAATGGAGAAGTTATCTGTAAATTAGAAGGTGACATTCCATTTAAAATACTCACTTCTTCAAGAAACACGTATAAATTAGTGACTGATGGGGTTCTAGACCGGGAGGAGAACCCAGAGTACAACATCACCATCATAGCCACCGACAGGGGTAAGCCACCTCTGTCTTCCAGCACAAGCATCACCCTGCACATTGGTGATGTCAACGACAATGCTCCAGTTTTCCAGCAGGCCTCATATATGGTCCACGTAGCTGAGAACAACCTTCCTGGGGTCTCCATTGCACAAGTCAGAGCCTCTGATCCTGATCTAGGACCCAACGGGCAAGTCTCCTACTCCATCGTGGCCAGCGACCTAGAGCCTAGAGCGCTGCTGTCCTACGTGTCTGTGAGCGCACAGAGCGGGGTGGTGTTTGCTCAACGCGCCTTCGACCACGAGCAGCTGCGCGCCTTCCAGCTCACGCTGCAGGCCCGCGACCACGGCTCGCCCGCGCTCAGCGCCAACGTGAGCCTGCAAGTGCTGGTGGGGGACCGCAATGACAACGCTCCGCGGGTTCTGTACCCCGCTCTGGGGCCCGATGGCTCAGCGCTCTTCGACACGGTGCCGCGTGCCGCCGAGCCCGGCTACCTGGTCACCAAGGTGGTGGCAGTGGACGCTGACTCGGGACACAATGCGTGGCTGTCCTACCACGTGCTGCAGGCCAGCGACCCTGGGCTCTTCAGCCTGGGGCTGCGCACTGGCGAGGTGCGCACCGCTCGCGCCTTAGGCAATAAAGACGCTGCCCGACACCGCCTCTTGGTCACTGTGCGCGATGGTGGCCTGCCTCCTCTTTCGGCGACCGCCACGTTGCACCTCATTTTTGCTGATAGCCTGCAAGAGATCCTACCCGACATTGCTGAACACCCTGTACCCTCTAACCCCCAAGAGGAGCTGCAGTTTTACCTAGTTGTGTCTTTGGCCTTTATCTCGGTCCTCTTCCTCCTTGCGGTCACTCTGGCTGTTGCTCTCCGCTTTCGACACTCCTCCCGAGCCAACGCTGGCGGCTGCTTTCAGCATGGTTTATGTTCCAAGTCTGGACCCGTAGTCCCCTCCAATTACAACGAGGGAACTTTGCCTTACTCCTACAATCTATGTGTTGCGCAAACAGGAAAGACGGAGTTTAATTTTCTAAAATGTAGTGAGCAGGTTAGTTCAGGACAAGACATACTTTGCAGTGATTCATCCGGAGCCTTATTTCCACTTTGCAATTTCAGTGAGTCAACCTCCCACCAGGTGAGTTTCCTTTAAGCATATCTCTCTCTCATTTTCTATGCAGTTCTCTATAATCATGGCAAAATAAATGTACAAATTTCAGATCTAGAGAGTTATCTTAAGAATATTGCAGTGAGTTTCCTTTAAGCATAACTTTATTTCCTGCTTAGTTCTCCACACTCACAGGAAAATATACAGATTTCAGATGTCCTAAGTTACCTTAAGAAAGTACTAGTGAGGTACTGGAAATGTATGCTAAGAATAGAGCACTTACCTAGCATGCCAGAGGCCTAGGATTTGATCCCTAACAAGACCCACATACACACACCCAAGAATTAAAATGCTCTCATAGAATTCTCCAAAGAATGAATGAAATAAGAGTACCTTAATTGTGTGGCTTGTAAATGCATCTTACCAAGCTCGAATTTATACAGCAGTGACTATGTGGTTTTAACACGATGTAAAATCCTCAGGCAATGTTATTGGCTTTCTCTTGTAATTAAGATTTCTTCATAATTTTTTCTTTTCTTAATATTGTATGTAATGAATACTTTTTAGCTTTTACATAATATATAGGCATTTAAATTAATTTAAAACAAAAGAATTTCAGCTAAAATTAGATGTTTTGTCAGTAGCTTAACAGAAAGATTTTCTACAATAATGTGCTGTTTTGTTTCTTAGGCTTACTCCTTTTTTTCAAAATTCCCTAGAATAGGGGCTGGTGAGATGGCTCAGTGGTCTAAAGCACTACTTAGAACAAGTTTAGCAAAGCAGCAGGGACCGCGGTTCAATCCCCCAGCACCACATGCTAGCCAGCCCCGCCCCCTGGTGGGCTGAGCTGGCCCCACACACACACACACACACACACAAATAAATAAATAAATTTTTAAAAAATTCCCTAGAATAATATCTTTAGTTGAGTTTTTAGGGGAGTTTTATATTTTGCTTTTGCTGCCAAGGACCAAACCCAGGGCATTCCAGCTTGCTAGGTAAGCGTTCTACCACTGAGCCAAATTCCCAGCCCCTCATGCTGAGTTTTTATGTTCACATATGACTTATAATTTTATGCATTGTACTGTGTGTGTGTGTGTGTTTATGATCATTTACTTAGCAGAAGATCCGTTATATTCATCAAAAGATCAAAAGCAGATTCTGGTGATTGGCAGAATAGGTTTTTCAGGGCTTACCTGTATTTAAGCTCATTTAGTAGGCTCCTCCATGAGAGAAGAGATACGTAATGCTTTGCCTCTGTCGTCCTTCGCACGTTCCTACCATGTAATTTTAACTCTTATTGCAACCCTTGGCTAGTGTATCTAAAAATCTAATCATTGTGCTTCCTGTAATAGAGAAAATCTTAAATTCTTCAAATTTTTAGATCAAAGTGCCAATCTTATGTTCACATTAACTCTATACCAAAGATTGTAGCACATGTTCCCAGCTATCTCCTAAGAATCCTTTAGGAACTTCTTCAGTTAATGGCCACTTTACAAATTGAAGGAAAGAGTAGCAGTACTTATTGTGCAACTTACTGGTAGTTATGTGTTCCTTGTTTTGTTGTTCTTTTGATCAAAATGATAAGGAAGTGAAAAATGAACTTTAGGATATGTCTACTTTAAAAAGTAGTGTGTTCTAAAATGTAATAATTTCTTTTTGGTGAAAAGGGCGGGATGGAGAATTGCTTTTGGTAACATATTAATCCTGTTGAGTACTTTCTATTCATCTAGAAAAATATAGATAATTTCAGTGAAATACTGAGATTACATGATCTGATAAAACTTGAATTTTAAAAATATTTGTCCTGTTAGAATGTCACAGTTTTAATTTGAAGTGTTACCAGTGTTTTATTTACATGATATTTAGAATGAAAATCTAAAAGTAACTCTACAGTGAGCTACTGCAGTTATTTAGTTTAAGTAAGCACAATTTATGGTTAAATGATGTCAATAGGTCTATTTTAACCTAAAACTGACTCTATATATCCCAAAGCATTTGCAACAAGTATGAAGACACAATGGGAAATAATTACATTTATTTAAGAGAAACAAACGTATCCCAGCAATGTGAGTGGTTTTATGTGCTAATCCCCAAATCTGATTATTTAATAATATTTTATAAAACCTTCCCCCTCTCCGGTTGACAATTTATTGTAAAATATGGATATAGCGACAAATTCAATTTAAAATGAAAAGCGAGCAGTATTTTTCCTCATTAATCTAGCAGAGTATTCCGTAAGTCATTTGTACCTAAGTGCAGTAACTGCTTAGGACTCTAAGGGCCGCTGTTCACCTACTGGGAGAGAAATGTAAGCGAAAGGCCATCCAATTTAAAGAGCTCACGCATCACAAAGACCGGCAGATCCCTTAAACCAACTTCGGAGATGCATAGAAATGCCATCCCTAAATTTAGGGCTCTCCAGCTTTGCGTAACATTGTGATCTCCATCAAGGCTGCAAAGAGGTAAACAAGAGCCAGACGCCCAGCGAGGATTCGCAAACAATTCTGTAGCGGAAGAACAATGGCTGCTCCAAGGAATCACCACGGACGCAGTGAGCTGGCCCTGCTGTGCGTACTGCTGGGGACACTGTGGGAGATTGCGACAGGGCAGATTCAGTATTCCGTGCCAGAAGAGACGGACAGAGGCACCTTCGTGGGTAATATCTCCAGGGACCTGGGACTGGAGCCCCGCGAGATGACCAAGCGCGGAGTCCGCATCATCTCCAGAGGTAGGACGCAGCTTTTCTCTCTCAGCCCTCACAGCGGCAGCTTGGTCACCGCGGGCAGGATAGACCGGGAGGAGCTGTGCGCCCAGAGCGCGCGGTGTCTTGTAAATATTAACATCCTAGTTGAGGATAAAGGAAAACTCTTTGGGATAGAAATAGAAATTACTGATATTAATGATAATAATCCAAAATTCCATGTTGAAAGCCTGGAAGTAAAAATTAATGAAATCGCTTCTCCTGGAGCACGCTATCCACTCCCAGAAGCAGTTGACCCCGATGTGGGAATGAACTCTTTACAGAGCTACCAGCTCAGCCCCAGTCACCACTTCTCTCTAGACTTGCAAACCAGAGATGATGGAACCATAACCCCAGAGCTGGTGCTCGAGCACACCCTGGACCGAGAGGAAGAGGCCACTCACCACCTGGTCCTCACCGCCTCAGATGGTGGCGACCCACGCCGCTCCAGCACGGTGCACATCCACGTGACAGTGTTGGATACAAATGACAATGCCCCGGTCTTTGCTCAACCACTTTACCGAGTGAAAGTCCTGGAGAACGTGCCCTCGGGCACCCTGCTGCTTACAGTAGCAGCTAGCGACCCGGATGAGGGAACCAACGGAAAAGTGACATATAAGTTACAGAAAATCAATGGAAAGCAGTCTTCCTTATTCCATCTTAATGAAAACAATGGAGAAATATCAGTTTCAAAAAATCTAGATTATGAAGAATGTTCATTTTATGAATTGGAAATTCAAGCTGAAGATGTGGGGGCACTCTTGGGGAGGTCCAAAGTGCTCATTTCAGTGGAAGATGTAAATGACAACAGGCCGGAGGTGACGATTACATCTCTGTTTAACCCCGTGCTGGAAAATTCTCCTCCTGGTACAGTAATTGCCTTCTTGAATGTGCATGATCGAGACTCTGGGAAGAATGGACAGGTTGTCTGCTCCACACGTGAAGATTTACCTTTTAAACTAGAATCATCAATAAATAATTATTATAGACTGGTAACATGGAAATATTTGGATCGAGAGAAAGTCTCTATCTATAATATCACAGTGATAGCCTCGGATCTAGGAGTCCCACCAATGTCTACTGAAACTTACATCACCTTGATTGTGGCAGACACCAATGACAACCCACCTACTTTCCCTCAGGCCTCCTACTCAGCATATATCCCAGAAAACAACCTGAGAGGTGCCTCCATCTTCTCTTTGACAGCTCATGATCCTGATAGCCAGGAAAATGCACAAGTCACTTACTCTGTGACTGAGGACACTACCCAAGGAGTGCCTCTGACCTCCTATGTTTCTATCAACTCTGACACTGGTGTCTTGTATGCACTGCAATCTTTTGATTATGAGCAGATCCAAGACTTGCAGCTACTGGTGCTTGCCAGTGACAGTGGAGACCCACCACTAAGCAGCAATGTGTCGCTGAGCATATTTGTGCTAGACCAGAATGACAACACACCTGAGATCCTGTATCCTGCTCTCCCCACTGATGGATCCACTGGTGTAGAGCTAGCTCCCCGATCTGCAGAACCTGGTTATCTGGTGACCAAGGTTGTAGCAGTGGACAGAGACTCAGGACAGAATGCCTGGCTGTCCTACCGCCTTCTTAAGGCCAGTGAGCCAGGGCTCTTCTCTGTGGGGCTGCACACAGGTGAGCTGCGCACAGCAAGAGCTCTGCTGGACAGAGATGCACTGAAGCAGAACCTTGTGGTGGCTGTGCAGGATCACGGCCAGCCTCCTCTCTCGGCCACCATCACACTCACTGTGGCCGTGGCTGACAGCATCCCTGAAGTACTGGCTGATTTAAGCAGCATCAAGACCCCTGGGATTCCAGATGATTCAGACCTCACACTCCACCTGGTGGTGGCAGTTGTCATTGTCTCCTGTGTCTTCCTTACTTTTGTCATTGTGCTACTGGTGCTCAAGCTTCAGCGCTGGCACAAGTCTCGCCTGCTCCAGACCTCTGGAAGCGGACTGGTGGGTGTGCCAGCCTCACACTTTATGGGCATTGATGGGGTACAAGCTTTTCTGCAGACCTATTCGCATGAGGTCTCCCTCACTGCAGGTTCACAAACAAGCAATCTTATCTTTCCTCAGCCCAACTATGCAGACACACTCATTAGCCAAGGGAGCTGTGAGAAAAATGATCCTTTATTAACAGCTGTAGATTTTCGTGAACTGAAAGAGGAAGCTGCTTGTGCTCAGGTGAGTTCAGTTCTTTGCTTTTATCTCTCAGAGGAATTTGGTTCACTATAAACTCATGTCTTGATACACATTGTGACAATAGTTAAAAATAATTTCTG